TGGATGACTTGCGTTGTATTCTGTACGAGCAATTAAGATAAACTGGTATCCTAAAGCACGATATTTCATCCTAGTTCTATTCGTGTTTCGTCTTCCCACTTATGCGTAGGCTATCCACTTTTCTATTCATGTGGTTTATCACCTTTCTCTATGCTGTCGTGAATTTCAGTAGATAGGTCTGAAACATATTTCTATCCAGCATTGTAGTGCATTGGTCAACTATTGTCTTGAAGTTTAAATGTGAAGATGGCTTACGTCCTTCGACAATTCACGGATTGATGCTGCTATATGAATATTCAAAGGGTATAGAATAGTTAATAAGCACACTTTTGACTTTCACTATATCAACAAGTAATAGATCATTTCAAAATTGGCACATTCACCTTCATTTTCATTGCGCGCTGTACTAGTGTTTTCAACAACAACTAGATATGTAATTTGATGGATGGTGGCTTGTTGTGGAGGCTAGGATACGCATTTCGTCCCACTTCGAACTTGTCGTCTGGAAGTAGCTGCATTCCCAGTGAGTGTCGATGTTTACACAGAGACTTGAATCCTGTTCCCGTAGTTTCAGAAGCTAAACTCCTATCCACTAGACTACGGTAGCAACTTCTCGTGCGACAGGCATCACTTATTATTTGTTTCAAATTCAAATTTTGATTTTCCTGTTGATTAATAGGACAAAATTTTCAGCCTCAGTCGGCATGTCGGCTCCTAGTACTGACGCTTGGACGATGTCTAAGGATTAATTTGAAGTGCTTTGTTAGGGATCTCAAGCTAATCCGGGGGGATTTTTTTTCTAGCTTATATTTTTACCCGAAGACTGGACTTGATATGTTGTCACCCTTGCTTCTGATTTTCTTATGTTTACATAAAATGTTTTCTAGTTTAGAAAAATTATTTTTTGTCATTCCCTTTGGTTCCAAGCAAAATATAAAGCCTCAACACCACCTCTCCCTTTCGTCTCGTTTCCTGAAGTCTGTTTTGGCTGGTTTCTCGGCACCTTATGTGTTTTCACTTCCTCCGTGCAAGATAGCCTCCAATCCATCTCCAATTACTTCTATATGTTTGATGGGTGGTATGTTGTTGGTTTATTTCGCTGCCAGAACTAGTTTTCTGTTTATTCTTTGTGACCAGCTACCTGATCTCCAGTATGGAGTGAAAGCAGTTGTTGATAAAAGTCGGAAGCAGTCTGTTCGAAATGCAGTTTGTGACGCCCTTGTCAGGTGTCTGAGCCAAATAGAAATAGAACTGACTAGCTTGAGAATAATATTGGATACAAAGATTTTGTTCCTTGTGCTAAGCGTAGTGAATGATTTTTATTGTCGCTGATTTAATATCCTCATTATTTCTGTGTACCCTACACTCACTTAAAGTTTTATCGTCTTTCCTTCTGCCGAGCTGTTGGTTTTCACTTGTAGATTTGCGAGTTAGTTTAACATTGGACATAAGTTACCCGTTAAATCTAGATCTTCTACAGTCCCATTGTAACGACAGAAGTCAAGGGCCAGGCAACACATCGTTTATTGAGAAAATCACGAGATATTTACATTTATTTTAGCAGAGAAGCAACGTTTTCTGATTGATTGTTTTCTTGCTGAAGGTTATTCTGTACTGCTTGTGACCGTTTCTCAGAAAATAAAGCCATATATCTGCGAATCGTATTTGCACACGTTAAGTCTGGTGCGATTGGTTGTTGAGTTCCTCAAGGTTAAGCTTCTTTATCGTTTTTTCCCATGACCCTGATTCGGGACGTAAACATTGACGTAAATCGTTGTCTACGATTTTGGCTCGGAGGCAACTCTCACCACAGCATTACCGACCCAACGTACTCTTGTCTTACAGCTTTCCACGGCCTAACGCACCATCCAGTGCACCACAGTCAGGCATTTGATTGGTGATAGTATGCAAACTTGTCTTACTGCTGTCTTCACTTCAGAGGCTTCTATGGGCTTTTAATTGTGAATCACTTGGTATGTGGCATTATCCTATAGATGTTAAGTGAGATTGGTAAGTATTCCCTCCATTGTGTCCTGTAGTGTTGGTGCAATTTTCAAACCATCTCACGCTCAACACTGTCGAATTCTTTTTAAAGTCGATGGAGTTGAAGTAGAGATTCGACTGCCATTCTATGTTCTCCTTAGTCCAGTGATTTTAGCACGCTGTCTCAACAACATATATTTCATAAGAATGTGAGTAAAACTGTAGGAACAATGTTTAAAAGTGAAATAAAAGTATTTTTATGGTCATTTACTTTTGTATATTAAAAATCGCCCTAAGTGCAAGAAAACCGCAAAGCCTATTGAATTAGATATCTTTCATGCACCTGTGCGTCGGTGGCACAGTGGTTAGGACTCTCGCCGACCATGCGCATGGTCCGGGGTTCGATCCCCTGCCGGCGCACACCTGATATCTATGGTCGGCCTGAATTTGGGCTACCGATATCCATGCTGAAAATTCCACACTTGTACTGAAAATACGGTGTGGAATCAAGCTGTAAATCAAAATAAAAAATAAATAAATAAATGAAATAAAAGTTATGGGGCTGATAGTTATCCATCTTGCCCTCACAACTGTCTGATTTCAAAGTCTATTCCACTGTAATCTGGTGGTTGTGCTGACTCTAACACCGGATGAAGGCATAAAACTTACACCTGCCCTAGGATGTGTAGATAACCTAAGAAACCTATAAATAGGATGAGGCTTGAAGTGATTCATCATCCTCACCCAACATGTGTATCCTTACGGGTGCAGTTGAAGTGTAGCTACTTGAATTGTTTACTGAGGTTTGGAGTTTCCTGTTATTTGTCTTACCATAGCGAAGTAAGCAGTACCTTTTACCATGTGAACTTCTTGAGTGATAACAAGTGGAAACCACAAGTTTCACTAGGTGACGACTGAACCGTATCGCAGTGTAGGCGTTACTTGTGTGTGAATAGCCCAGTGGATAATCTTTTGGTCATTTGCATAAAAGATGTGGGTCTCGAGTCTTAATGAGGAAATCACCACTCACTAAACTATAGGTGCATCCAACTTCCGTGTCATAAGTGTCTCTCGTATTCCACTGATAGCTACTACCTATTAAATAGTCAACAAGTATTCGGTGATTGAATACACTCAGCAAGGAGTCATATATGTGTATGTATATCCGGTGTTTTCAGTTGCCTTGTTGCAAATCCTTTCGACTAATCGCAGACTTAGCTCATGATTTGTGTTAAAATGCAGGTGAAGTCTCCAGCAGGTTGCGTACAACTAGCCACTCTTGAACCGTTAAAGCCTTTACACAAGCGAGTAGTTCACTGTACATTTGGATTCGTATCCTCGTAACATCCCACCTAAATTAACTTGTGACTATTTTCAAAAGCTGAAATTTCTTGAAAATTTAACTTCAAAGCTTTTAAGATTTGGAAAGTCAGCATCAATATTTTTTCTATATTTTGGAGCTTTAAAAAACTGCTGTATAACTTCTACATTTCAGGGTCTTACGTGAGCAGACGTGTGGCTGTTTAAGTTTTTTTAATAATAGCTTGAAACCACACAGTATTTTTGGTACAAGTATGTAATTTTCAGCATGTGATATCGGTAGCCCAAATTTTTACAGGCCGACCATTGATATTAGGTGTGGGTCGGCAAGGGATCGAACCGCAGACTATGTGCATGGTCGGCGAGAGTCCTAACCACTATGCCGCCGACTCAGGATAAGGGCTCCAAATTTTAGCGCTGCAGTTTAATAGAATGTCTATGGGCTGATATAATGTATGAATCTGAAGAGCGGACAAAAAACAGTTTACATACTAACTACAGTGCACCCGAACTTCCTCTCAACAATCACGCTGAGGGCTTCAATGTATCCCATGTAGGGGAGGGGGCGTTATGCATTACACTGCATATAGACTTATGCTTAGTTGCTGACTTTAGATAGAGAATCAGAGTAAGTGCTTTTCAGAATAGGGCTGGATTATCAGGCAAGTAACGAGGCCGATTGGTGGTATGGTGACTGCTCATCGATGGTCTCCCTAGATTTTTTGTCCACTTAAATGCACCGGCTTTACTCCACTTCATATAATTTTAGTCAGACAAATATGTTCAAGGATCGCAACGCTTTCCAAGTCCCGTTTTGAAGCAGGTTTTAAAACACTGAAATGGATATTCTGATGGAAGTGTAGGAAAAACTGTTCACGAAAATACCTATCTGAAACGGAAGAAATTGTGGATTATTGATGCGTGCTTCGGATAAAACAATATTGCATCAGTTGATTTGTTGTCGTTTATTCATTACTTGGAGACTCTGTAACAGAAATGAATAACCTACAGTCATAATTACTGAATTGTCTGTAATGTATGTGAATGGAACAAAGTTATTTGTTAAACTATCGTTACGCCATTCTTTGAAGCGCACCACTGGGCAAAATAGCATAATGTTGTTAAGGATTGGGAGTAGTAAGGCCAAAAAGATGACAGTTCTGCAAAGCGCGGCTCTGTTCTGTATCCAGCAGAATGAATTAATCATTTTAACCGGAGTTCTTAGAAGTCCAGCAGTTAGCATCTTTGCTAAATGTCTCCTTGTTCATTCTGTCATTCCGGTACGCTATCTTGTGGTTCGCCTCTTTCTAATGCGTGACCCGTTTGTGATCAGCCTGTCAGGTTGAAGAATGTCACATGATTCACGGAATTTAGATTGCCTAATGTAGAAATCAAGGTTGGGTAATTAAAAAACATGTGAACGACTCTAGAAATCGTTTCCACTTACTTCCTAAAACTTGATGTTTTAGTTGTATTAAATTATTTAGATGTTAAGACAAGCAGTTTCTGAAAGAAAATCGTCTTTCGTGTCCACATCTCAACAAAGTTGATGAATTGGCGTTCAATGAAGTTTCACTCAGTTTTGTTTAAATGCGTAGGGAATTTGCTGGCTCGACATTTGACCTTGGTGTTTTAGTCGGTTTTTTGGTTGGTTTAATAATGGCGTGTTCTGTTATCGTTCGTTGTTCATATTTTAGCAACTGAGCAAGAGGGTTTGGATGAAAGTTGTCTGGAAATCATGGAGCCTCCAATTAAAAGGTTGGTCGTAGACCTAACTAATTTTTTTATTAATTAAGACAATGCTTTGATGATGTTCTGGATCTAAGTCGGAAGTCAAACCACATTGATAATGAAGGAGGGAAAGCTGCCTGTAAGGTAAGTCTCCAGTTATAACATTGGTTCCTTAGAATGATGATGACGTTATTATGTTGAGTGAAGATGAAGATGACCGCCTACTAGGTGCTCTGTGTGATGAGATGGAGAAAGAAAATACACCGAAACCGTCTCTGTTGTCAAAGTCCCGAGCTTTGATTTTGAAACTGGAAAATGAACTAAGAAATGAAGAAAGCGCGTTGATGCTGTTGCAACAGTTAAGGACTAACCAAAGGTCTCATGCTCTCCAGCCAAAGGGGACGAAGACACCATCTGCTACACCTACTCCACGTAATACTCAGTCTCCAGTTAACCATGGTAAGTGCTTTTCATATAGATTTTTTAATTATTTTGGTCAGCAAATAACATAAACCCAGGAAGAAACATTCCTCCTACAACCAGTGCCGCTAGAGTTACTCAATGTAAGTTCAGCATGTTGCCTTATGCATTTTCACACTAGCTCCTGCTCAAAATTCTAATGTTCCTAGTTTGCAAAACACATCAGCAATACCTAAAGTTACGAAAGGCATGGCCATACATGCTTTGGAACAACAGTGCAATGGCAAGAAGGCTATGCTTCGGAAACAATTAGAAAGAACCCTGGACAAGGTTGCTCTTCCTAAACCTGCTGTTGGTAATGGATTATGTGTTGTACCGTTCGTACCTAGCACATTGACAAACGAGTTTACTGCTCTAATAGGACTCGAGGAAATCGTAAATACTATACAAGTAAGCACTTTATGCATTTATCATTTTTAAAGTACTGTTTCTGGCTGGCTGTTTGGACGAACTGGTAATAACGTACACTGTACCCGTTGGCAATTCATACTCCCAGGTGAAATCTCTCCAGTATTCTCTGGAATAACTTCGATTTCTAGAGTAATCCGGTCAGATTTCACCTCGAACTGTGTTAACTGTAAATTGTGAATGTGATTTAAGGTACTACTGATGAAGCTCGTCCTATGGACTGACGTTTGCTCCTTGATAATGGCATAACTCAAGTCTGTGTTTAGCGTAGTTTTAACGTCTGGGTGGTCCCAAAACTATGGATTACTTTCCTAGTCTTTATAAAGTAAAAGTTGTGTAGATATGCAAGAGAAACAAAGTATGTTGTAACATAAGTGCCATTTGTCACGCATTACATTTAATAGGTTATCTGAAATCGATAGTTGCATATGGTAGCTTAACTGATGCATGACTGACCAACCTACTGCATTTCAACGCAAAACTTCATATAGAAGTGAAGCAGTCCGAGTTGCCGCATTCCATGTTGTACTCAAAGGAAGACAAAAGGGAAGGTATAGTACCAGAAGAACAATTGTATTTAGTGGATACGGGAGATCGCTGAGAGTGAATGCATCCGGGCCATGTCCCTAATTGTTCTTAGAAGTTGGAGGACCTGCTCACTTGGCTCAAATTAACTGGCAGAGATTTCATTGATTGATTCCAAGTTTTGATATGACTATCCCGAATTCTTCCAGACGAATCGTATGTAGGATAAGATAACATGTCGAGGCAGGTGGTGGCTCAACATGCACAACGCGTGTCCTACTCATCTCAATCTATATAGCCTCACAACTTGACCGAATGACTAGCCTTGCTGGTCTAACACCTTACACCCACCCCTCGTTATCACTCACCTCATTATATCACTCAACACACGAGATTGAATGCGAACATCTGTAGTCAAAGACAACCAACCCCTATATATCCTCCACTCAACGGCCACATCTCATATAGTCAAGCTACATTCCCATACCCAGCTTTTATCTAGGATCTGACTTCGTAGATTGCAACTAACTCTCAATATACTCTATGCAATGTGCCTTCATTAGTTTAAGCCGTTTAAGTAGACTGAATACATATCTGTAATACTCGTCCTAACCAATTCACATCAAGTTTTACTGCACCTTTTCCCGACCTACCTATTTTACTATTCTAAGGCTTAATGTGGTTTTCGGAATGTTAAGAATCAATTCCTTATAACCGTAATCAGCAGTATATATATATATATATATATATATATATATATATATATATCACAATCACTTTAAGTATCTCTGCTCTTCATTAAATTTCCATACGTGCATATCTTTTAATTTTCTTCATCATGTTTCCAACTTTTTTATTTGCTTTTTCGACTTCTGATAACTGATGTGTCTGCAAAGTTCGTTTGTGAGCTCTTCAGACGTTGGCAACCTATTTATTTCATAGAACAAAGGCATTACAACATTGGTATTAATGATAAAACATGGCCTCCTCGAATTCTATCTTCATCCTTAAGGTGCCAGTTCACATTTGGTGTAGAGTACGTTAGGAATGCATCTTATGTAATAGTGAATGTCGCTTAACCTATTTAAAAGGCTCTCAATAACAGCTGGTTGATACCTGAAAAGTGTGGTGTAGGTTTTTGTAGATATATTTATTATAGCTCTATTGCCAGAGTTGAGATCCTTGAACACATATCAGTACTGACACCTCACGATACATCATAAGCTCGGGTGCTTTGCTAATAAGCCTCGAGCAAAGCGATGATTTTACTATTTATGTCTTCTACTTAAACACTGTCCCATGATACCCCACATATTTATCTGATTGCACACCGACTCAAAAACTGCAGTACATGTAGGGTGAAAATGCTGGCGTACCTTGAGCTTTCGAAAAGTGAGTGTGTTTAACCCACAACTGAGCATGAAACCAGCTTGGTTTTCGCATATTCGTTTTCCCCAATCTGCTGTATGAGGTTGTCGCCTTAGGATTGGGTTACTGTATTCGTGAGCTAATTCTCGTTGTTCACTAGACTTATCTCCTTTTTTGTCAGCTATGATAAGTGATAAAAATTCTTGAAAGTGAACTATGTGGGATAATCGTATTAGCTGAAATATTAGTGCAGTAACAAGCGCGATTCACGATCCGTAAGAATGACTAAAAACAACTCATCAAGCTCCACTGACGTCTTTTGTTTAAGCTACCTTACCACTTGGAGATTTTTATGTTCTCACTCAAACGCATTCAGCTTAAATGTGAAGAAATCGTGTAGATAAGAATCTAAAAATATATGAGTTGTGTCATAACTGTTCAGCTACCGCCGTTGAGATTTTCGGGGAGAAATCCTGTTTGGTGTAGATGCCCATATCTGTCTGTCTGTCTGTTTTCGACATATAACTTTGCACCGATGTGCACCAGTTCAAGTCGCCACACTGCATGTAGCACACAAAGCAAGAGAAAGTAGAAGAAATGTAAAATAGAGACAGTAGACAGGGACATGAAACAACAGGAATAGTAATAACGAAGAACAATATAGTTTCATTGGGTATTATAAGCCACAAGGAGTGGATGCATCTTCGTCATTGAGAACGATTTTGAGCCATATCACCGATTGTCTCCAGCCTCCATTGGTTTTCACCGTCCCGAGGACCTCAACCAGTCAGGAAGTCTACACCCTCCTACGTGGCTTTAACTGTTGTGGATTTCATAGACTGGTGAGGCCATGTTTTGGTTTGACCGAAGCCTAACCTCAATATTATTCAACCTATTATACCACTTCACACGGGAGATAGAACGCAGGCACATATGATCAAAGACAACTTGCTGGCCTTTTCATGTCTTCCACTCTCAATGTCCATGTCTCACTCACAGCCATAAAGGAGGACGGAGCGAACTGCTGAGCAGTACACACGCCCTTTGATCAATAGCCAGCCAGATATCACGTCTACTCCAGAGACGGTGTAAACTGGCATATGCGAAACTAGCCTTCTGTATCCGTGCTGAGATTTTGTCAGCGATTAATCTATTGGCACTGGCTGATGCAACTCCTTGAATAAGTGAAGCGGTCAACGTGCTCTACCACCTCACTTCCTATTTCTAAGCTAGGTTTCCGTGTAGTCCAGTCAGTCCTGTAGCATAATCTTACATTTGTCGGGAGCGAATCGCATGTCAAACATTCGCCGATTGCAGCTCAAGGTGTTCCTAAGACTGCGTATTGTCAGCGTCTTCACCTAGAAGGATTATATCATCTGCATATTCTAAGTCAACGAGTTTATTCCCTTGTAACTGACAAGTCAAGCCCTGAGTCTCTGAAGTGAGTTAGGGCTAAGTCCATTAGTACATCTACGATGAAATTGAATAAAAATGGGGATAGTGGACATCCCTGAAGGACACCACTAGTTGTCACCACTTCAGATGACAACTCGCCATAAGCTCTCATCTGGCTGCATGAGTTCGAGTAGAGTTCCATGACCAGTGTGGTGTATTTTCTCGGCATTTCCTGCGTCGGTGGCATAGTGGTTACGACGCTCGCCAACCATGCATATGGTCCGGGGTTCGATCCCCGGCCGGCGCACTCCTTTACCTCGCTAAGCCAGTAATTAGACTGGTAAAGAGGAAAGGTTGGTCATGAGGCTAGCAACCCCATCCTGTAAAAATAAACACTGCTACAGAAACTTCAAGCCTCTAGCTTGAAGCCCTATATTCCACTCGGAATGTGAAGGAAAAAATTCCTTTTACAGCCAAGTATCGTCAGAGTATCTCTCGGTCGACAGAATCGAATGCAGCCTCTAGGTCAAGAAATATAACGATTGTTGGACGCCGGTAAGTATGCCTGTGTTCCGTTGCAGAATCTGTCGAAGGGTGAAGATGTGATCAATGCACCCTCTTCCTGGTCTAAAACCTGCCTGGTTCTCTCGTGTGTGTTCCTCCCGAGCACCACTTAGTCTACGCAGTATTATTGAGCCTAGGACTTCAGATACTATTAGTCAAGCTAATCCCTCTGTGATTATCACAGGAAGACTTGTCTCCTTTCTTGTACGTGGGGGTAATCAGTGACTTACACCAACCCGACGGGACTTCCTCTGATTCCCAGACACTGCCTAGTACCTCAGTTAATGCAGACAGTAAACTGTCTCCACCGTACTTAAATACCTCTGGAGTCATTCCACCAGGTCCTGCTGCTTTGCCTCGTTTCAGACTAGTGACAGCCTTAGTAACCTCAGTTAGGGACGGAGGACCTGTGTCTATATCCCACTTAGGGAGGTGTTGGATGTCCGGTAAGTTGAGTGTGGCTGGTAAGCCAATTAAACTGCTCCTCAAAGTGTTCTTTCCGGCGTCCCAGTCGTCTATCTTGGGAGCTAATTATGGTGCCATTTTTCTCCGAGATTGTTTCACTTATCATTTGCCTTTTACCACCTGTTTCCCTGATAAGCCTAAATAGCTGTCTGGTGTTACCAATCGCTGATGCCTTTTCCATCTCTTTCGCTTTTGTCGCCCACCACTGTTTACGGTCGTTACGAAGGCTTCTTGTTTGTTTGCGTTTGAGTAGCTTTCGCTCCTCATCATAATCGGAGCTCTCTGGAATCAGTCTTCTTGCGTCAATCAGTTCGGATGAGGTGGTAGAGATCCAATGGTTGTTATTTGAAGGAAGGCGAGGACCCTGACAAAATGCAGAGTCTACTGAACACCTTGAGCTGCAATCTAAGAATGTTTGGCATGCGATTCGCCCCTATAAAATGTAAGATGATGCTGCAGGATTGGACTTCATCGACCCCTAGATTAGAAATAGGAAGTGAAGTGGTAGAACACGTTGACCGCTTCACTTACTTGGGAAGTACCATCAGCCCCAACGGGTTGATCTCCGACGAAATTTCAGCACGAATACAGAGGGCTAGGTTCGCATTCGCCAGTTTTCGCCGTCTCTGGCGTAGACGCGATATCCGACTATCGACCAAAGGGCGTGTGTACTGCTCAACAGTCCGCTCCGTCCTCCTTTATGGCTGTGAGACCTGGCCATTGAGAGCAGAAGACATGAAAAGATTAGCTGTCTTCGATCATAGGTGTCTGCGTTCTATCTCCCGCGTGAAGTGGTATAATAAGGTGAGCAATATTGAGGTTAGGCGTCGAGTGCTAGGTAAGGCGGGGAAATCAATCGACGAGACTGTGAAATTACTTCGACTGAGATGGTTAGGACATGTGCTACGTATGCCTAGTCATCGCCTTCCTCGACGGGCAATGTTTGCTGATATAGGGCCAGGCTGGAAAAGAGCTAGTGGCGGTCAAATGAAAACATGGCACCAGTCAATGAAATCTACAACAATTAGTCTAAGCCACGTAGGAAGATGTAGACTTCCTGGTTGGGGCCCTCGGGATGGTAAAAACCAATGGTTGGAAACAATTGGCGACATGGCTCAAAATCGTTCTCAGTGGCGCAGATGCATCCACTCCTTGTGACTTATGATTTCCAATTAAACTTTTGTTCTCCGTTATTACTATTCCTTTGTCTCACACCTCTGTTTACTGTCTATATTATGCATTTCTTCTCTTGCTTTGCGTGCTACATAGATTGTGGCGACTTGAACTGCCGCACATATGTGCAAAGTTCTATGTCGAAAACCGACCGACCGACCGAATGGTTGTTATTAACTTTTGGTTTTAGGTTATTGACAGCTTTTACAGCTGTTTCCACAGCTGTGTTGTGCCAAGCTATCTCAGGGGAAGTCCCGCTGTCGACCTCAGATACTCGTTCTTCTATTTCCTTAAATAGGGACTCAGTGTCTCGATCTAGTTGGGGACGTAACTGTCTCGCTGCCAGCAATTTTTTATGTCCGTTTAGTCGTAAGCATAAACGTGCGCGGACCAGAGCGGGATCGGAGTCTACGCACGTGTTCCAGAAGGAGCGGCAGTCCTCTACTGACCCTCGCCAACGATACCCTATTGCTCTATGGTCTATCTGAGTTCAGAGTTGATTTGGGAACTCCATACGTACCACCTACATACTTCTCAGTCTGGCACAACTTCCCTACTTGGGCATTGAAGTCGCCTGCTAAAACAACTATATCTGAACGTTTTGCTTTTTGCAGTAATTCAGACAGACAGATAGAAGTCATCCTTTAGTTCATCCGAACGGCAGTCTGTGGGGGCGTAAGCGGAGACTACGAAAAGACAACGACGGGTAGCGCCGTCTTTCCTTCTTCTAACGGACCCGTTCAGATGGACCACACACATACGACTACCTACTGAGATCCAGTCAAAAAGTGATTTTTCCGCCCTAACACTCAGTGCCATCCCTACACCTGCGAGTCCTCGCGAGCTAGCTGAGGGGTTTCCTGACACAAATTTTGCAGATTCACCTTGTTGGCCGTGTGAGGTTAAGTGAATGACCACACTCGGGTCTTGTATGCGTGTCTCCGAAACAAAATACATCCATGTCTCGAGATGCCAGAGTTCTTGCTAGTGATGCCTGTTGTCTGATTTGACAGAGGGTCCTGACGTTGAATGCTCCTATATGAAGTTGGCGACGTGACTTTAAGAGGCTGTTGGAGTTGTTCCTATGGTTTTCATCGTTGTTTGTGGTCACAGAGTGAAGTGAAGATACCTCACTAGCCTGAAGAATAGTACTAACTGTATTAGGGGAGTTAAGATGATGGTGATGTGGTTAAAGGAGAATGATGCTCGGGGAGGCTTCGTGTGCTCTTGGAAGTGTGTGGGCGGTTGTTACTTCCCGGCTGCCCACACTGTGGAAGTTGATTGATTCTTCGGGTACCTGAAACAAAGAGGGTTAGTGTTGCGTGACTACAGAGCCCAGGGGACAACTGCTTGAGGACGGTCACACAGTCTGTATTTACTGGTTTCTTGGTTTGGTTCCGTCGGTTACGGACCACCGTAGAATAAATCGGGATGTACAATTGTTGGGGGCGACTTTTTCTAACCCCCTCTCTCCAGAGTGGAGAGTGAGCATAGCTGGCATGCTGGTCATCTAAGGGAAACACCTTACTGTTGTTACGTCCCTGTTCCCCAGCAGTTCTTACACTATGCCGGTAACTGCTTTTAGCCTAATCGCTATTCTAACAACCTTCCTGGCATGGTAGGACCTGCGGGAGCGATAGTTCCAGCCAGTGTAGCTTGTTGGGTCATTGCGATGTGCAAACCCGATCACCACGTTAAGGTAGCAGCTATCGGTCGGGGATGCCGATATCTACCTAAAGCGTGTCCTCAGATGTGGTAAACAGGCTATTATTCATTACTTTCACATTGATATTTTACTGTGGAGTCACTCTGACCTTTTGTTTTGTCGCTGCAACTTTTCTTATCTTCTAGATGTATCAATAGAGATTTAATACGGAATAGTTAAACCTTTATCAGTATTGATATATTTGTTGAGTACTTTTTTACCTGCTACTTGATGAAGACTTTTGATCCCTTATTTCTCAACGTAATCATTTCTTTAATTTGTTGATTATGTTCATCAATTAGTATGGCTTTGTGTCATATAGTTACGCGACTGATGGGTGTGGAGTGAGGGGAATTCAAAATTTCATCCTATCGCTGCATTCATCTTTACCAATGGTCATATCTCACTGTGGAAAAAGAAGTAGGAAGCTGAGTGCGTATTTCCTTCACGTTATTTCAGACCATTAAGGTGTGGTGTTGATATTAATCATGCAAGTCTTAACACTTAAGTGATAGATATTCAGTGGATTTGCGCAAAGAAAAATGTTGAGTATTTCGTACATTTAACTATTGCAATAAAAATTTTATTGTTACACTGAATCCATGAAAATTTTCATTCTTCAATGAAGCCACATAAAATCGATGAGATATTTCGATACGAGTATTCACAATTTATAAATTCAGTGAACCTCTTTCGAACTGGATTTTGTGTAAAATGTAACTAGCTTACATGGTATGTGAAATTTTTTATTTTTTGGTAGCGGGGAAAGTTCATCGCATTAGTCAAGGGACTCTGCTCGAACTTGGGGTATATAAGAGCTTATGGAAAGTTGCCGCCTAAAGTGATGACATGTGGTATTCTTCAGGAACGCCCATCATCCCCATTTTTGCTTAGTTTCACTAATGTACTAATGTCATTGACTCCAACTAAGTCAAACTTCTTGAGGACTGACCTGTTAACAGGGGACAGCCTTATTGATTTAGAGTATAAGGGTGATATTGTCCTCCTAGGTGGAGGCGCTGATAGAATGCATAGTCTTCTGAATAACCTGAGCAGAAATCTTCGGATGCTGGGCATGCGAAGTATCTCTTGTCAAATGCGAGTAAGATGGTGATGCAGGACCGGACTTCACTGAATCCTAGCTTAAAGAAAGGAAGTGAAGTGGTGTAGCATATTGACCACTTCACTTATTTAGGAAGTTGCACAAGTCTTAGTAGACTGATTGGTGACGAAATTTCAGCACAGAAACGAAAGATTCGTATGACATTTTCTGACTTATGTCATCTCTAGCGTAGACGTGATATATGATTATTGACCGGAGGACGTATGTGCTGCACAGAAGTTTGTCCTGTCGTTCATGGCTGTGAGACATGGCCATTGAGAGTGTGAGATATGTAAAGGCTAGTTGTCTTTGACTACAGATGTTTGCATTCAGTCTCGTGTGTTGAGCGATATAATGGTGTGAGTGGTAGCGAGGTGTGGGTGTAAGGTGTTAGACCAGCGAGGCTCGTTATTCGGGCAATTTGTGAGGCTATATCAATTGAGATGAGTACGGCACCTGTTAATAATTAGTTTTTATTGTCAACATGTCAGAGTTTTGATAATTAACCAGTTTTAATTCTCATGACATAGTGTATTTTTTTAATTGAGGCCTTAATTTTCTTGGTTAATTATTATCCCCTTCACTGGTCTACGTCGATATCTGCCTTCATGAAGCTGGTAAATCGTATTGTGTTCAAAGATGCTGTGCTTTAATGCAGAATCATTGATGAGGATCTACTTGAAAATGTCAGTTAGTGTCGGCAATTTCCATATACGAATACTGATTGTATTTGAGTTGTAGTACTTTATTAGTCGGTGTGTGTCACGCCACTTAAAACGGGTGGGATGAGACAGGCTTGTTATGTTAATCAATTTTGAAACTTGGTTTGTCTACCTGACATTGTCTACTGATGTTCACAGGTGATTGGTGGGGCTTAGTTTTTTAGATAGAAATTTCAAATATCTGGCTGGGCTTACAAGTGATGGGGAAAACTCTTCATGAATTTTCCTTATACGAAAGGGTAAAACGAATTCCCTTATCAGTTTTACTCAAAAGCAGATTTCAATTTAGGCGAGAATTTAAAAAAGCTGATACCTTTTAGGTACTGATTTCCATTTTCGCTTCCTTTGATTTTAAATTACGTTTTGTTTAGTTAATCAAAAGCACCCTTCTTAAATTTCAGGATTTCGACCCGTTGAACACGGAGAAAAATTCAGATCAGTCACGGTTTATTAGTCCTTTCTCTTGTTCACGATGTGGTTCTGACTTTACACCCGTTTGGAAACGTAAACGTCCAGGATCATCAGAAGTTGTTTGTGAAGCTTGCATAATTGATGGTCAACGTTCTGTTATTCACAAAGCATACAACAATGTTATTTCAGCAGCACTGAAACAGCATGCTGCTTCAGAACGTGAGATCGAAAACGAATATCAAGATATTGTTAACTCACCAGCTAAGCTGGAAGCTTTTATTAAAGAACATGAACGGAAACTCATGGTTACGCAGCAGGCTCAGATGGCACAGCAACAGCAACAACAAATGCAACAAGCCGCTTCGGCTAACAACTTGCATACTCAGCGCTACCATCAGCAGCAGCAGCAGCAACAACAACAACAAGGTTTTCCGGCTCAGGTACAGTCTTGTTTAGCTACTAAAAATGTTTTATTTCCAAATTTCACATAAGGCATTTATTCTTTCGTATATTGTATCAGGGCAACAGATTTACGTGATGCAAGTTGCGTCGTATATGTCGTACAGTCTATACAACATGTGTGTAATGAAGTTTTATGTACAGAACAAGAAACCAACATTAACACTTGATAAAAGATAATATAATCACTCAAGGGTATAAGATGGGTGACCCAAGTAGAAAAAGAAATCAACATTTATATTTACAAACAGTTCAAACCTGAGTTATGCATTCAAAAAGAAGCTATAGTAAGACATTATTTACCTTGGTGGATCCTCTTCTAAACTAAACTGATTGCACCACCATTTACTAAATGTAAGTGATGGTTTCTTTGAATAAAGCAAAAACAACATTATGTGAAGAATAAGATGGTACTGTAACGTTAGGAGACCATAAACTTGGTAAAGGAATGTTTATTTGAAATTTGCTATCGCTATATAGCGAAATTATATCCACCTTCTCTTCAAATCTCCATTTGCATAGGTCTTCCGTGTTGTGCTACTTCTGTCCTTGATTATTGTATTTCTTCGTATTGATTTCACGTCTCCCATGTGTCTCCGCAACGCTGCATGATTTTCTTTATCTGACATCAAATCGATCTCTCTGGTATTCGATTTTTTTATGTCGATGAACGTCTCTTTATATACTACTGATAAATCTTAACAGTAGCATACGTCACAGTACCACCATTCATTTTGTTGACCTCTCATCAGATTTGTACAGCCTAAAAATTGCTAAGTTTATGTATGGAACAATTTTACGATACTTGCAAATGTTAGACAATGTCAGCTGACTGTAGACTCCAAACTCAATAAGCAGTGCTCAGTAATTGCACTTATACACCCAGAAAGTTCAAGTTAAAAAAGGCATGGATACAATGGATAAAGAGTTACGTCACAAAGATAAGAGGTGAATAAAATGACGAGTAACTAATCAATTGAGTGAACTTTGAGTTCTAGTGATGCGAGGAATGTGATCAGATGTCTTACAACAAAAAGTTATGAGGCATAGATTCGAGTTAAATTTCGCACTAACGAGTACCTTTTGTTAACTACCATGCGTAGAACACTACTTTTTGAATATCATCAAGCCAGACAATCCACAGCACTCTACGCCGCTCAGACCATCCGTAATCCCTTCTCAACATAATCCTATGTTTGATAACTTCCTCCTTCGTCACACGTTATAGCAACCTCATTTGATTAAGCTTGATAACCTTATTCATTAGCTCCCCCCAGCTTTCGACACTTAATAACTACTTATCACTTCGCTCCTCTTGTTATGAATGATTGTATGAAGACACCTTTGATAAGAAAGTAACCTCTGTATGCCTACTGCTTCCAGTGAGCATATTTGACAGTTGTGAAGTAATGTAGAGAATTTCTGCTCAGTACATGGGCTCTTTGCTGAGCGACAGGATATCATGTCCCAAAGATGAAGGAGTTTAACAAATTCACAGTGAATCTTTGGCATCGGTACCGAGATTTCATCAGAAACAGTTTCACTAGTGCTGACGCAAACCCGGACAAGTCGTGCAGGCCAGTCCCAGAGCACCATGAATTTACGTACACGGACGATAGTGGTGATTATCCACATAGTAACCTAGAAATTGTTTAATAAAGCACACTATACAACCTTATTGTTTTGATTGGTTGCGAGTAAACGTAACTGTTGGGTATCTAATTGCTGCACTAATTAAGCTACTATGATGTGGTCGACTTATCAATATTACAAGCATTATAGCGGTGATAAGCACGCCGTAAGATGTTTTCTTTTCATCGTGATAGTAATTGATCTTATCATACGATTTCGACTGCTTATGTTCTGTTAAACTGCTGTATGGCTGTGTCATAGCATTTGTATTTATTATAGCATTTAACAAGTATTGGTTTTTGACTACTTTTGAATTCGTTACCTCCTGTTGTTTTAATTTACATTTTGTCCCGTCATTTGTGTTGTTTCACCCAGTTTACTTAATCTCTCTTTAGTCTCCACTCGATTAACATTTTTACATTACGTAATTTACTCTGGAATCTCAAACCATTTTGATGACATCTTTAGAAACATTGCTTATGTTTCTATAACAATGCATTACATACATGCGGTTCTACAGCTTGAGTTGGATATCGCTGAATTCCTCTTCTCTCTTATTATACTATTCATGTCCTGTTTACGTCATTTTACCTATGGCAACATATTGTTTCTTTTTTACAGAATATGTTTAACACTGCTAGTAGTTCTCGGCATGGACAGACAACTCCAGTTAACAGTGCAGCGCCAACTCCATTAGGAATGTCGAATATGTCATCTCGCCGGCAGTCTGCATCCAGCAATGCAAGTGTTAATTCTCCCGTTTCTTTGCCCATTCAACAACAGGGACATTCGGCTGGAAACGTTGTACAGCAGCTTGCCTCTCGTTATCAACAGCTCACAAAAGCTGCTGTTGCTGCTGTGGTTGGTGGTGGTCAGAATCCGGTCAACCATTCTATTGCGAATAATGCGGCTACTGCTAACCTAATGATGGCTGCAGCGGCGAATCCTATGCTTGCAGCAGCTGCAGTATCAGCAACTAGCCAACAGCAGCAATCTGTCGCTCAGCAACAATTGACAGCTGCTGCATTAGCCCAACAGAGGTTGGCGGCAGTTGCAGCTCTAAACTTTCAGCATCAACAGCAGCCACATCATGCACAACCTTCGACTGGGGCGGTCCCATCCAATAATCAGGCAGATCATCTAGCTCAATTCACTCAAATGCAAACATTATTGATGAGCAGTCTTTTAGGAAATGCAGGTATTTATTACAAAAAAGTCCTCCGTTATTGTATTTTAATTACCATGAGTTTTTTTATCGTTCATAGTATGAAAGTTATTTGTTTTTAAGTATCCACCATATTTTGGTTTGTAGTACGAGGTAATACTTATAGTGAATCATAGTTACTTAACGTTAAATTTTAAATTTAGGTAGCATGCAGTGATTTGACTGTTTTCTTCCGCATTAGACCGTGCTTGTCAGTAATATTGCCCAAATGGAGATGTGGCTCTCATAATCTTAGGCATTCAACTCCACCAATAAGTCCTGAATTCGAATCCCACTTCCTTTGCTTCAGCTTGGACAATAGAGTAGTGTCACTAGACCTCATACAATAAGTGTGGCTCATATGCGGAAGATAAGTATTGAGTAACTGAGTTCTGACTACTGTAATCTCACATGGGTAGTATGTGAAGTTATGACCACGAATAAATGTTCAATGTACTAAAGTCTGAGGTTTAATTTGTATTAGAATAAATAACTGCACTGGATACATTTAAGCACAAATAGAGTTATTCAAAAAGGGGTTACTTTTCTCTAAGACATGTTATCTCGTCATTGTTTATTAATCTAAGTTGCTACATTTCACATCATCATAGAGAGAGAGCAAACGAAAGTAGGGAGATAATGAAAATGACAGTGTTTGTCGTATTAGAAGTCAGGAACAAGAAAGGCCATCACAATTGTCTTTAAGACATGTACGTGTTTCTTTACCACTTAAAATAATTGAGGTCATTTTTTCTAATTCCCTTTAATGTCTATTTCTATTTTCACCTGAACTTAAGCTTTAACTTTTTTTGTCATAAAAACATTAGTCAGAGCCTATTATATCATTCAGTCCCTGTTCTAATTTAGGTCTCAGTACCGTTCATTGAAGTATGTAGTGCATATGGGAATTATGTGGTAGCTAATATTCTAGACTTGTTGCTCATCATGCTCACACACCAGATAGTCTATATTCAACACAAGTGTTTTCCATCTCCATTGAGATGTAGACAATCAATATGGACTAGTTCGGAATGCAAGTTTGCCTATGGGGATGAAAATTGCATCCTAAAAATAGCCACATACCCAGTTAAGTACTTTATACTTACCCTGAATGGATTTTCATGCACTATACTATGGGCTGACAATATCACCCAGTTGGTCCAAGTTCGATTAGGTGGGGTGGTCTTGGACCCGGGATCACGTGTTGGCTAAAAGTCGAGTGCTTCTTTCAATAATAAGCCACATCTTTAATTTGAAGGATTACCTCTCTAAGCGATAATAAGGATTACACTACTGGTATCTTGTCTTGACAGAACTATGCGTCTGTGTATATTTAAGAGCGAAACCAATCTTTAAAGCGGAGGATAGAAGTGCCACTGTTACTGAAAGCATCGACCTTAACCAACATAGGAATGTAAGTAAATAAAGTAGTGCTTTGTAGAGTGTATTCAAGAAACTTCACTTCCGAAGGTAGTGATAATGTTTTACTTCCACGTCAAATATAGTGACCACCAGCGTTGTGTTCTGTTAATTTTACCTTCATGCATTAATCGTCTGCTCAAGTATATTTTTCAGCGCAGTCATAATTTGAGTACTTTATTTAAAGTATTTGTTGTTTCACTGTTTGAATATTTATTTATTTATTTATCAATCCATCTAGTGAATGTTAGGTTGATAAATTCGAACTAGGCATTTTACTACTTTTGTATTGTGGATTACACTTGCAAATTTTTGCGGTATTTTCAGTTGCTCGACTGACGGTGTTAGTTTTAATACAGAAATTGCATTGTCACCATTGGATGAAGCTTTAAGTTTCTTGTTATTCAGATTAAAAAGAATTTAAATTGCACATGCACGAGGTAAACATACCCTTTGACAAGCAGCTTTCGGAGGTGGCTTTTGTGTAAGTTGTTGACCTTAATAATTATGTCTATAAACTGGAGTACAAATAAACACTTGTAACAAGATTTTCCATATTTGTTTTTAATTATCAAGCTGCTGTCAGTGGAGCACAAGCGACCGCTAACTCTAGGCAACAACAACAACAGCAAATATTGCAACACGCGCTTCTGCAGTACACCTATTTATTGCAACAGCAACAAGCTGTTGCAGCTGCTCAGGTTCAACAGCAGCAGCAGCAACAACAACAACAAAGTCAACAGGTTAACGCTGCTGCTTTGCAGCAGTTGATAAGTGGAGCCGCAGGGAACCCGACAGCTTGTATGACATTATTACAAAATTTGTGGGCTCTTAATGCAGCATCCAATGGTGTGAAAAAGTAGGATACCTACTGACGTAATTTTCCTCCAAAACTATTTATTTCCCCCTCGCTGTTTTTATGATTTCGTCAACAAATATTTTAATTTACTGTGCCTTATAATATCAATTGCGTACAGTGCTATTCGACATAAAAAAACTTCTCATCATTTGTTCTAGGCTATCATTTACATTTTTTCTACATTTACTGATTATGGTTTAGTGCATATATTCATTACTACTTTATCTTTTTGAATAACTTACGTCATTTCCATTCCGCATATTGTATATACTTACATATATTTGTAGTGCTGTGTCAGTATAACTTACTTTCACGCTAATATTTTTCTGATCTTTCAGTAAACATATCCTTGTTTGTCTCCAATTATATATATTATTTTAAGCAGTAGTACATAATTAAGTATGACTTCAACTTTTGATATCTCGTGAAATATTCCCATCGTAATTGAAAAGTACAAAAGTTGCAAAGATAAACATTCATTATAGAAGCGCAGTTGGTTTTGCATCTTTTCAAGTTCTAGGCCTTCGGAAAACTATGCAAATGTAGGGAAAAAATGAGTAGGATAGTTAAATGAGTATTAGTGAAGACTTCCAGAATCTAGATGGCACCAGCAAATGAACGCATCGGCGCTGTCGCGAGTGATTTTAAGCCATGTCACCGACATTCTCAGGCATCCCAAGGACCCTAGTCAACCATTCTACTTCAGGCTAACACAGATTGCTGAAATGGGCGGGCAGTGGCTTGGCACACGTCACCTACGTCTTAAACACCTCAATCGATCGGCTGTTCTTCAATAAGTACCACTAGTCATCTACGACGAGAGATTGATCAGTGGCTTCTGTGATAATAAACCGCCTATATTTCACACCTTAAAACTTCAGCCATGTTTTTCACGTTGAAGTAGTTCTGAGCAAACTACTGTACAGTCCGTACATTCTCTCATGATTAACCGGATATCACACAGACATGAAAAGGTAACGCAAGACGGCAATCGCTAACAAGTCAGTTGCGTTGGTATTGAGATTTCGTTAGCAATATCTCCAAGCAGGTGAAGTGGCGAACGTATACAACCTTTTCACGTAACATCCTTAAATATGATTCGGCGCGGAATTATCCTGCAACCTCCTAATTCTGATGGGGGCAGATCGTATTGCAGTCACATTCAGGCTTTTGCTCAGTTTTCAGAGGACTGCATTTGTCATCTGCACATATGAATACTACATATTCGTATTCTTTATCAAGGAGAATTTGCCTTGGATTTTAATCCCTCTCACATTGATGCTAATCAGGTTCTCCTTCATTGCTGTAAGACCGACGGCACTGGAAGTCCTTGACAAAAAATTACTGTTTGTTTGCAATTCAGACGGCATCCGAATTGTCCTTCACATTTCTTAGAAGCAGTGGTTGCCATGAGAATATCACTCTTGGTGTTGGTGCAAGAAAGGTTTTCTTTAGACATTGTACAACCTTTTAGGATCAAGTCGCCGAAAAGACTTCTTTGCTGAGCTTTTTTTCTCTTCCCAAATATTTTCCTACCTTGACAGCAGTTGAAGGACGGCATGACATGCTAATCTTGATGGTTATCTAAAACAAGCAATAAAGATTAATAAAGCAGGACTTAATGAATTCACGAAATTTCGGTAGAACTCGTCAGCTGAATGCTCTACATACACGGATATATACTTTTGAAATTACATTGCGAGTTATAGGACTGATAAGTAAATAAACTACATTGAATTAGTCATGCAGAAAGACAGGTGCGAATGTTTTCCAGGTCATGTTCAAATAGGTAAGGGGAGAGAGAGAGTATGAGAGATCAAAATTAAGACAAATTGCATTACGCTTCAATTACATCACTTAGATAAACAATTAGACATTAGAAAATATAACAAGAATTGCAAACAGAGTAACATCAATAGTAAAAGTTATAATAACAATAATAATAATAGTGTTGAGGTGAATTAAGATAATCCTACTGATAAAGGATAGTTTTAAATGAATCAAGAATAATAATAATAAGAGGTAGAATAATAAGTAAAACGTATTACCATGGTAGGTTCAGAGTCACGACCATCTCCTTTTGTACACAGAGACCTGGTTTATAAACTCGAATTGCACAAGCCTCTTCAAATGCAAGCATCTTCTTGTTTTTTTGTCTGCTGACAATGGTGAATGACTTGGCCGCGTCGATATCATGCCCGTAATCCACAAGATGTTTTGTTATTGAGGATTTTGGCACTTTGCACTCAGCTGTTTTCGACTATTTTGGCAAATGCTCCATCATGCGAGTGGGCAATCACCTTTCCGTACGACCTACGTATTTGCTTCCACAAACACACTCAAATTGATATACGCAGTTTGAAGTGTCGAGGATTGGCGACTGGTCTTTCCCAGATTGTTGAAGCACTCGCTTAGTGGTGTTAAGGAAAACAAGTTTAGCAGCATAATAAGTTCTCTTGATGGCTTTGTCGAGTCTTCGTTTGACTACTTCCTGTACATCATCTCCTTTGAACGGCAAGTTGATATAGACAGGTTTCTTCGGAACTGTTTGGATTGTTTTGCAGCGGGTGTTTTCTTTAGAGTATTTATTAATGAACTTCTCAGGGTATCCATTCTTAGATAAGATATCCTTCAGTAATTTTATTTCATACTCAACAGTACTGTCAGAACAAATTTTTCGTGCTCTATTGAACATTATTCTGACTAAGTTCTTTTTATTCTGGATTGGAACAAAACTCTTGAAATGCATGTACTGTCCTGTCCATGAGGACTTTCTAAATATAGATCTTTCGATTGTGCCATCATTCATTTTCGCCAGAAAAACGTCTAGGAATTTAATAGTATCATTTTCCTCGTGTTCTACTGTGAAATTGAGATTTAGATGGCATGAGTTGAATTTTATCAGCATGTCTTCGGCTTTTGATCTGCTTCCACAGGCAATAAAAATATCATCAACATATCTTAGGTATAGATCCGTTTCTTGTATATGTTGTTGCAGGGTACCGGTTTCTAGGCGTGACAAGAATAAGTCAGGGAAAAGTGGTCCCAAGGGGCTTCCCATTGCGGCACCATCAACTTGACGGAATAAACGCCCGTCGAATTGGAATTGGACATTTTTAGTACATAAAAGTAGCAATTTCCCCAATCCCGACGTTGGAATGGGTATGTTCTCAGCTTCTTTACATATGATGTCTATAGTCTCAATGACTGGCACATTTGTGAGGAGGGAGGTAACATCGAAAGAGACTAAATGTTTATCAGATACATTGAAATCTTTGATTCGCTCGACAAACTGGAATGAATCAGAAACTATATACTTCCCGAAGCGTTTCCGCAGGCGCTGCAACAGTTCACATAACCACTGTGCTAATTTGTGGTATGGTGAGTTTATCATCGAGAGTATGGGTCTTAATGGCGCTCCTGGTTTGTGTATTTTAACACGCCCGTATGGTTTTGGGATTCGTGACCCAATCGGCTTGATATTTCTATAGGTGTTTTCATCAATGTATTTATTTTTGAATAGTTGGCGTAGCTGCTGTACAATTTTCTTTTCGGTCGACAACGTTTGATCTTTTGCTTGATTATCCAGTTTGAATTTAGATTCATCGGAGAGAATTTGATGCATTTTTTCGAGATAATCTGTCTTATTCATTAGCATTACGCTTTGTCCTTTATCAGCTTGTAGAATAACAAGATTATTGTCTTTTCGGAGCTTGTTTGCTGATCTCCAGTGTTCTTTGGTGATGTGCGACTTTTGATTGGTTGGCATGATTCGAAATTGGTGAGCAATATCAAACATCTTTGCTTTCAACCAGCTTTGGCTGTCATTGGACGTAGCATGTAGCCCCATAAGTTGATCATAAAGATTTTCGAATTGGCATTCGATGTCAATTTGCTTTATGTTTTTCATGGGAACACAGAAGTTGAATCCCAATGACAGAATTTCCACTTGTTCTTTTGATAGGGAAACATCAGATAAATTGTGAACATAACTAGATATATCCACTGGGAAAATTTCATTTGGCGGTTCCGGATGAATTGACTTTTTCAGTTTCTTCTGATTCTTTTGTCTTTTTAGCAGTGGCATGCAGATATATAGAGAATTTAAGATAACATACGAAGTTTAAGTCATTTTGTACACTGATTAGTTTGCTTGATAATACGCATAAATTACTGATTTCATCATCGGTAATGTAGCTATGGACCAGTTGAATTGCTCTTCAAAATGTTGTGACTAACGTTTAAGCTGCTTCCCCTGAGCTCCACCCTTTGTAACATACGTTCCACTTACCACAGTTCTTTTGCAACCAATTTTCTTAGTAAACACAAACAACTGTCTGAAATTACCCGTTTCAGCGAAGGAAATTTTTTTCAACAAAGTCGTCGACTATGTTGTAAACCGATCGAAAAGAAAATTTTCTTCTCTGAAAGAGTCTTCTTGTTTTTTCTTATGATCTAATGTGTATATTCTACAAATCATCTGTCCATCATGCTCTTCCTGTGTCTTTATTTGCTTTACCATTCTGAGGTCGTTATGAAGATTCTCGAGCATATCTTACTCGTTATCATGTATCAACCTCCTCACATTAGTCAATCCAGGATGTGCTGTAGGAATCCACTAGGAGTTACTAACATTCGAAGGCTAGTTGTCAACTTTCTGCAGTAATCTGGGTGTAATATCAGGCCTCCTCCCTGAACATACATTTTAAGTACTCCTAGAAAATTCGGTGTATGGCTTCCTTAGCCACTGTCTTCGACAGTCGTTTATTTGTAGGTGTACACGGTCTACTGCTTGACTGTAGTATACCCAAGCGTCAGCAATATTTAAGAGATCCAGTTGCACCTTTCTTTTGAAATTAGTGCTGTTCTAGAACTAATCATCTGAACGGTTTCATAAAGGGTAACCACTATTTGCGGTCCGTTGGCACGGGACTCCCCAGGCCACTAAAGAGAAACCTGTTAGACTGTCTTGCTTTTCTTACTTAGTAAAAGTTTCCATTGAGATGGCTATGTGTGAGAACTTTACTTTCAGCAGCGAACTAGACAGCTGTTAAAATTCAATTTTTGCTTCAACGAAACTGGAGTCAGTTGTTGTTTAGAGGAGATTATAGGAGGGCAACTCCGACCAAAACTGTCTCCTCTTATTTTCACAGATCGAGACAACCCTCAGGTGATTGTTCACTGAGATCCAGTCGAGTAGCAGGTTTTTTGCATCCAAGCTCAGTATGTCTTTGCACCATGAAGTCCATCAGTACTGAATAAAGAATCTTCTGATACTTGCAAAGTTAGTCTTGCGGATTCATCACATTGATTCGAAGTGGTACAGTGTGAATTACTAACGATAAGCGTCTTATGTGTGTCTCAGGCACAACATACATAGGAGCCGGAGATGTTAGAGTTGTTTAGTGAAGCCTGTTGTGTGACTTGGCATAAGGTTTGAGCGTTGAATGTTCCAATTCG